GGGCACTTTACAGCTATTTGGGTGACATTGTTGTTTTGGTTTGGTGAGTTAGTGGAGTATTTGTATTTCATGCAATGCATGGCGACAAAAATTAAGGGTGAGTAGGTTACAGAAGCTATTGTAGTGGTTGTTATTCCTATTGAGCTATAGGTGCCAAACGGCGAAAGAGAAGAATTCATTCCAGGTGAGATTTAAGTGGTCAATATTAATAGGCAAGTCTTTGAGATTAATGAGTCAGTGGTCAGAGTTGAGGTCTAGAGTTTGGTTTTGTGAGATTATTTCTTTCCAAAAGGATTGGGCTATTGGACATTTGAAGAGTATATGGATTATGGATTCATTAGTTCCCTTACATATTGAACAAACCGTACCAATATCTAAGCCTATATAATGAAGATATGATTTAGTATGTAGGCGGTTATGAGAGCATTGTTAAGTTTTTAAACTTAAATGTAGCTTAAAAGAGGGTGAATGGAAAATGATGAGAAATTGAAAATACTTGAGTTTTCCCCCTTGACAAAGGGACATGGTCCCATATTGGAAGAGGAAAAAGTTTTTGATGGGTATATATATAACTGCTCTTCTTCTAGCTCTTAAAGAATTAAGAAGAAGGCAAGTCTCGCGTCGTCGCTCGCTCGGCTTCGGCTATTGGACATTTGAAGAGTATATGGATTATGGATTCATTGGTTCCCTTACATATTGAACAAACCGTATCAATATCTAAGCCTATATGATGAAGATATGATTTAGTAGGTAGGCGGTTATGAGAGCATTATTGGGTTTTTAAGCTTAAATATAGCTTAAAAGAGGGTGAATGAGAAATAGAGGAAAATTGAAAATATTTGAGTTTCCCTCCTTGACAAAGGGACATAGTCCCATATTGGAAGAGGAAAAAGATTTTGATAAGTATATATACAATTTCTCTTCTTCTAGCTCTTAAAGAGTTAAGAAGAAGGCAAGCCTCGTACCGTCGTCGTCGTCGCTCGCTCGGCTTCGACTTCGGATTTGGTCAATTGACTGATTAATTTTTTGGACCAAATTTATTTGTTAATAGTAAATATTAACAGAAATATTGTTAAATATCCGTTTTTTTGTAAACGAAAAATTAATATTAAATCCAACGGAACAATATATGCCCTTCGCTTTTTGTAAAAGCCATTTACGTTATTGCCTTTTTTTTTACACAAACAACCCTTCTAAAGAGTTGCACCTCTTCAGTTTTGAAGAGTTGCACCTTTTCAGTTTGAGCTCAATATTGGCTATAAATACCAGTCCATTCTTTCAGATTTTCCATACGAATTTCTGAGTTCTCCTCATTTCTTCTGTATTGTTTTAACTACAAAGAAAGCAACAGTAAGTGTGATTTGCTACCGATCTTTGTGTTCGCTGAAAGACTGGAGTTTGAACTACCGCTACACCAGTGTGTAATTCGCTCTATCCTAGGAGGAAATAATCCACAACCTTGGGTACTAGGAGGGGAATAGATTCCTTAAGAAAACACTGTAAATT